ATATCGAGGACCATCGAGTCATGCGCTTGCTTCTGTTTCTTATTTTTTATGGCAGATTCAAAACGTCTAAGATTTTATACCTGCTTTATTCATTCCTCCAGCAAAAGGCGGTTATAATTTGTTAAAATTTTTATTCTTTTTACCACTCTGTCTAGCAACTTCTCATTAGGAAGCGATGTGTTGAAGTGCGCTGAAATGACAGAAATATCTGTCACATTAGCTAGCGCCTATGAATATGCGCAGTTTTTGTTACGCGGTTCATTTTGCTGTCTCTAGGTGATGAATACACTCCGGATGAATGTAAGCTTTCTTGAATGTGTTATTGGACCTTAGTCTATGTGTGTGTATGTGTCCCATCTGTCTAGTGATCCGATGAAACGTGGCCTTTTTTGGGCATTCCTGTGCTCCGATGGTTCGTTTTTTTTTTATTAATTGTTTCATTTGATAAAGAGATCAGTCTAAGGAAAAAAAAAGGCTGCCTAAACAGGCTTTGTCGTTTGAACCGCACAATCAAAAAAGGCACATAAACGAAGGTACAGCATCAATAGACGGTCATTTTTGCGACTGCATATTCGCAAAGCATGTTGAATCACCAACTAATCTCAAGAATCATCATTCGGGATCCCTCAAGAATTTTGTTACTTCGTTGGGCAAGGGTCCCCTTCGAGGCGGTTATTCCAGAGAATGCTTTGGCTTCGCAGTCTTGTCATGTAAATAGAAGGAAGAATTCAAATTTCTAGCTATATTTTCATGTCGGCAAAATATCCAGCTGAAGGAGGCTGGTCGAAAAGCAGCGCACTGTACTGTAACGGTGTTGAAATGTGTCGGAAGCGCTGAACACGTCGAGACTGGTTCTCTGTTCAGCTGAAATTCATCTGTATTTTTACAATGATTCACGCGGTTCCCTGTCGTCAAAGTGTTTGTGACGGCTAGAGATTGATATGTACTCCTGTCCAACAATCAGCTGCGCTGCATAAATACATTCTCATCAGCGCTTACTCCCTATCTGTGTGTATATGTGTGCGTGTGTGTATGTATGTGTGTGTATGTGTGTGTGCGTGTGTGCCTATGTTCGCATGTTTGTCTGTGCATATATATGTACACTTTGTACGAAATGTGTACATTTTTATGCGTTTTTGCATATATGTAAATTACAAAATTATGCGTTTTTGCATATATGTAAATTGCAAAAACGCACATTGGGAAAACGCTGTGTGTGTGTGTGTGTGTGTGTGTGTGTGTGTGTCTTTGTCTGTGTCTGTTTGTTCGCCCTTTTTGTCACCCTTTTTCAACTCGAAACCCAGAAAAGCTAGAAGGCTGAAACTTTGGGGATATGTTCCCATACTATGCGCGATCCCCCGTTTTAGTTTCATCCCCCTTGGACGTCTGGGTGCCGTGTACTGACGCTTTAAAAAAATATGCAAATTTTTTGGCGGGAAGGCGATCTCGGGAACTACATGAGCTGAGGGGCCGAAACTTTATAGGAATATTCCCTGTGCATGTACTAGCTAAAGATTTCAAACTCAGCTCCCAGATGTGTGTGGTACTCATGTAAGAGCGTATGAAAGTTTTAACGGGAAAATTCCTGACTCGGGTACCTGGAAAGCTAGAAACCTCAGACTTTGCGGGAATGTTCCCTATCCAAGCACTACTC